ATTTTTTGTTGAGGGCAGCGTAGGATTACTGAAATTAGGCGTTCTGTTTACTTGATTCTCCGAATGTCGTTCTGATTCGTGGGTCTTCACAACCGAATTTCCTGCCTCATAGTATCTTGGCCAATTTAACGTAATTACCCGGTTATTTTTTGTTGAGGGGAGCGTAGGATTACTGAAATTAGGCGTTCTGTTTACTTGATTCTCCGGATGTCAGTCAAAAGAACATACCACCCGGGTTGGTCGTGCTGATTTGTGAGTCTTCACAAGCGAATTTCCTGCCTCATAGTATCGTGAATACGGTGTGTGTATCGTGTATACGGTTGATTATCTTTCGTTCCACTTTATTCTAGTGGTGGCTGACTTCAGTCCTGCCTTCAGAAATGTCGTTTTTTGTGGAACACGCTTTCTGTGCCGACGTGATCTCTCATATTTCAAAATAATACTGATTCTAGCGGCGTTTCAAAACATCCAAGCAAACAATTTTACCATTTCCAAAGAAAGTAGTTTTTTCACTCGAGTTACGTGTGACCGTTAAAGTTTATACCCAAGTGAGGATAATTTAACAACCTTGTAAGTAGTTTTCATTTGGTAGTTCCACTGTTCTCATTCGGCTGGTAGTAGTTCAAGCCAATTATCTATAATCTTAGCAACGACGTCGCCGACGTTTGACGAAATCTTCGCCCCAAAGAAGGTCTCTCCAGGAACTGAATGAAGTTAATTGAGTGTTAAAAGATAATTACACATTTTCATAAAGGAAACTACTCACAAGGTTTCCGAAAACTCTTCGACGGCCCACGACCGGTTTCGCCCTTCTTGGGGTTCNGAAGGGCGAAACCGGTCGTGAGCTGTCAAAGAGTTTTCAGCAAACTTGTGAGTAGTTTCCTTTATGAAAATATAGTGCGATATCTCGAATATCTTGTCAAGATTCAATTGAGTCTCTCATTAAAAAAATTGACTTGCAAATGTGTGTATTTCTCGATAATTACATATTAGTGCAAGTGATTTTTAGTCTAAGTTCTCCGTGGGTATCGGTTGACATATGGAGAAACGTGCGGCCATGTGGCTAATACCATACACACGGAAATACCATCAGGATTGACTTTTGTGGGCCAGATCGATGAGGTCTAATCTGCTTTACGTTGTTAAAGGTTCAGTGGTTCGGAGGACAAGTGCCGTATCAACCAGGACACCGTGGCTAGACCGCATTGCATCGGAAGACCTAAACTAGCCTACAAGCAGAATGCCAGTTGGTGCGCTTTCAGGATTTCTTTGGTAAGACGAAACACACACGGCACAGTCACTTGATTGTGCGCCATTAGCCTGGTTGGGTTGGAGGTTTGGACGAGTGATACTACTCTGACCGTGAGCTGTCTCCTTCGACCTTGATCGACCGATGAGAACAGGCTATGCAGAATTCTACGGGTGGTCACGCTGCAAGTAAAAACGCCCTCATTCGGTTGATAACAGCCCACTGGAGTTGATCGCCATTGAATCACATTTTCAGACGACTGAAACCCCCCACTGGAGTGAAAAGTAAAACCATCTTCCCGTGGTTGAAGTGGAAACTATATGCAACAAATGTTTCTTACACTACATGACTATCAGTACTTAAATCCAATTCGGACGAACCCAATTACTCAAATGAACTTTACTGGAAGTGTTTGTATTTCAAAGATATTGTCCAATGATTTTAACCCGTTTGATTTCAATGCTAAACCTGTCTGGGTCGGCTGTATGGAATGCCACTGGATTTCGATTATCATGGGAGAATCTCTAATGGACTGGATTTCTGAAGTATGTTTCGGTTTACTCACGAGTAAAATTTTCTCACCGTATGCGGACCAGTAACCGTGTGTAACGTGTGAATTTCCACTTTCCGACTCACGTTCTTCCGATTTTACATTCAAATTGTCGTCACAGACTTGCTAAACTTGTCTGGTTTCTTCGCTGGAACTTTCGTCATCAAGATCCCAACAACTCACATGAAGGTTGAGTGCAGTCAGTTTCATTATGTGTACAAGGTTGCACACCTAATTTGTGTATTAGCAACAGTCTGTGAGCATGTTCTGATTTCACTTAGGTTTCCGAACTTATTGCATTTTGTTTAAAACATTCTGCTGCAAAGTTTTAAAATCCCCCTTTTGTTTACTGTAAATAAGTGGAGAAATTCACAAACGAGAGATTCAGCTGGGTTCCAGGTGAGTCTTTCGCAAAACCAAATCTGTTTGCAAATGAGTGTAGTTCGCTAACTTCGTGCAATTTGGTTTCAAGTAGAACATAAGCTTGACGGATCCTCCGGGACTGCGCCTACCTGATGAGCCCCAAGAAGGACGAAACCGGTCTTTGACTGTCAATGTATTCTCAGCAACCTTATGAGTAGTATATGACTTAAAGAGAAAACAAACGATGCGAAGACGATAGTGTATATCACATGAAGGAGAAAATAATGATCAATCGATCTGTACTCACTCAAGATTGACAGCCATCTGATTTCTGTCAATGAAAAGGGTTTACGCATTCATTTTCGGACGAATGTCCTCATATGGACTTGTGGAACTACCAAATGTGATTTCCTAATGGATACCGGAGGAAAGCAGGTTTGTGACCTAGTCCCAACACTAGTTAGCCTCTATTTAACAGTCACATGTGCTCAGGGCTTTCACCAGTATGACGGTGGTTATTTGTTCCCCTGAAAGTGCTTTCTGGGCAACATTAAGGAATACTGCATCATATTTCTGCCCTCTGGCTGTTGGCGGCGTTCGGTTTTGTCCGCTAGGGTTCAACATGAAACCCTAACTTTTCTGTGTAATAATCATCAGATGGCGTGCTGCTCTGAATTCTGCTAAGTTGGCAGCCCATTGCGCAGAGAATCGAGTCTCAATGAAATAAATTCACCCAATGAATAGGCCCACAATAGCATTTATTCATTTTCAGAAACGTGCCTGGAGCAGTCATCGCATGCCCATCGACTCCAAGTTTTCAGTTTATCGGGATGTTGTGTGGTCTTCAGCGAAGTGCACCAGCAGGGCGAGGACAGGAGGAAGTTTCGAGTTCTTGATCGTTTTCCTTTCCACAATTTGTGCCACATCCTTCGGGTCAAACGGATCACATGGATCCGGAACACGGGATTCCCTTCATGAACAGATGTTTCTGGAATTGAACGCAGTCTGCTAAGAAACCAGTACTTTCGGTTAGATCATTTGAAACGAGTGGCTATGGCCTGCATCCCAGGATAACCGGTTTACGGTCAGCTAGTATGCGGAGTTTGGGTTCAGAGACGAACAAAACTCTATTCTTAAGACGGCCACCACATACGTTTGAAAAATTATATATATATATATATATATATATATATCAACCTCTTTAACACGTTTAGACACCCATAAAATAAATGGAATATTACAGACGAACATGAGACAAAACCTGCGTAATATTTAAACCAGCTGCTGACCAGGTCGGGGGAATTTGATTGCGGATGAATGATAGAAATTTTTGTCACAGATTCTCATAGTACATCTGATAATTGGCAAGCAACGGGCATTTCATTTCGCCCGTTTTTCAAAGTGTGCATGTTGTTAGGTCTGACAAAGATCAGACATTTGACGATTTCCGTGCCCTAACTGATCGTTGGATGAATCGGAGGATTGTCCTGAGCACGGTAAAATAGTTCCACCGAATTTTGAGGGCAAATGAGACGGAACAGTGAAATGTTTCGTATCAAATCCCTGAAACGATACTGTTGCAAACAGTTCAATGCAAGAGATAATTGTAGCCATCTTTGTAGAAGCACCTCGTTCAAGTGATGCCCAGTGTAGGCTGCTCGGATTGCGTAACACTCAAATCGCAACAACAGAAAATCTCTTTACAGAAAATTCGTAATGCACTATTTATAAGGTTGCTGAAAATTCTTCGACATCACAGACGAGGGGTTCAGCTGGGTTTCAGGTGAGTCTCTGGCAAAACCGAATCGGTTTACGAATGAGCTATTTACTGAGAGTTATTAAAACACTCCATTTCCTGCTCTTCTCATAAGGACGAAACTTCTAGAAAAAAACAGGTTCGGCTTTTTCCTCGAAATTGCAACTCTCAATGGGCCATGATAGGGAAAGTCCTTTCACCACAACGGACAATTTGTAGTGGATTGTAGACTCAAAGGAAAACCAAATTTGTTCTCTATGTAGTCTGGACCTCCTAAATTAGGTTTTTGAACAGTTGTACCCACAACAAAAACCCAGATGTTCCTGACAAAAAATAAAATGTAAAATTTCAAGGAACACTCAAATATCTCAGCGGACTTGAAAACGGAGTGCGGTTTGCATATGGTATAGTTACTCCGAATAAGTAGATTTATTCCAAAAAACGCAGAGTTGCCTCTTACATCTGAAGATTATTCAACATCTCCATGTCTGTGCTAAAACAAAACTTCTCGTTGGTTGTGAGAATCAGAGGGGTTCAGTTGATCTTAACGAAGGCTCAACTGGAACCGACACGAATCTCTTACCTTTTACATCCTTCGATTAGATGAGCCATTCAGTAATCGTTGGGACGACCTTCAAGATATCGAAGTATACATTCTTGATATTCCGCGCTACTTGGAAGATCATTGGAAACTCTTCGAAAGCCCACAGCAGGTTTTCTTCCCTCAGGGCTCATCAGACTAACGTAGTCTCGGGTATTTATCGTCCCCGTGTTTAAAATAAACACAAGATTTGTAATTTACTACTCATAAGGTTGCCGAAAATTCGTCGACAGCCTACGACCGGTTCTGCCCTTCTTGGGGCTCACCATATAGGCGCGACCCCCGAGTTCTCGGCAACCCCATGTTCTTCGTTTGGCAGTGAGTATACTTCGCTTATTTCGTACATAAGGTTGACGGAAAGTCGGGGGCTGTGCCTATCAGGTGAGCCCCAAGAAGGGCGAAACCGGTCGTGGGCTGTCGACGAATTTTCAGTAACCTTATGAGCAGTGTATTACGAATACACATGTATCGCGACTGAAACATGGGACGGCCTGGTGCGGCACATTCAGTTGCCTGGAAACATCACAACCGGGAGATTCAGATGGGTTCCAGGTGAGTCTCTCAAAAACCAGATTAGTTTGCAAATGCGTATATTTCGCCAAACAAAAGATCTCAAAAAATTAACGAAGAACATTCGTGCACGTTTATATGCGAGTTGCCTTGGTATCAACGAGAGGCTCAACTGAATATCCCATTTGTGCTACAGTTCAGTTGAGCCTTCCGTTACCATCAACTACAGAGACAGGCTTGGAAACCAGTGAGGTAACTGGTCACAGCTTTGGTCATATCGTTTACAAAATCGCATTGATTTATTTTTTTCCTTTATTGTATTTCACCTTTGCCTCCATTCCATTGTGAAATATAACTTCCCTCGTGAAAGACACTTCTTCAGCTGCATAATTTTGAGTAGATGTCCACAGAAATACAGGAAACACGGCTTTAAGTGGCCTAAATTTATGAAAGGCTGTGAAGTTAACTGATCAAATGTATTAGACGTAACGTGCTTCAGTTGTCATGCTGTTCGAGGAAGAAATTGATATTCCAACGACGTGACCATCACTGTTTCTGATAGCGTTCTTTGGAACTTGCACTTGGTGGAGCATCTTGACGTAAGTGGGTAACCGATAACTGTGGTTGTGCCTCATTTGGGACTTACACAGGGAAACGAGCAAACGTGTTGGCTCAAAGAGCAATAGCCTACATTTTTAGAAGATAAAATAGAAATATTTATGCGAACAAATCGCGAGCCACAAAATAGATTCACTGCCGGAGCTAATAGATAATAGCTATAGATTCATTAGATGGAGCTGTGAAGTTCAGGCAGAAGGGCGTGACGGTGAGTGGTCGTAGCTCTGTGGGAAGAGCACCCATCCGGTAAACCGATGGTTCTACCCCGTTCTGACGCGAGTAGTTTCTTTTCTTTTCTGGACTTTCAACATAGCTGAGTAAATTAGAGAGTCCTCGTGAATGCACATGGTAGAGTGAAGGCGAACTCAGTAAGAAAACTATCTTTTGATGTCATTCAGTGACTGTTGATGAAGGACGTCATATATCCTGGAAAGTGCTTGCTTTTGTAGTTTGCACTGACTGGTCTCGAAATCATTTCAGGTTCTCCCCACAACTCGAAAAAATGTTGTGTAACTTCCTCTGACACAAAGCAAAGTGTCCTGAGACTAAGCGGAAGCTATTCTTTATAATATTTGCTGAAATCTCAACATGGTATGTCTAGCGGAAGCAACAAATACGGACAGTGCATAGCCCAAAGTGCACAGATTTCGGTGCTGTCGGTGACCGGATATGGAGCAAGAGCAGCTTTCACTCTAAACTAACGACTATCAGAAGTGCAAAAAATGGTTTACTCTAGTGGTTACCATCAACAGGATGGGCGAAATTTGTTGGCATTCAGTAATAGCGATTTCCATTATATCTTGATTCCATCAGGAGCTTGCACAATACCTTCCAGAGGACCACCATCTGGAGATGTTGTTCGCAGCCGTGTTCAAAAGCAGCCAATTTCAAGGAACTCAAAGTAGTTTCTTCTTCTGAGCTGGGCGTTATTTGAAGAGTGGTTTGATTCGGTTTTGCCACTGAAGACTCGCAAATTACATCACAAGGTATCATTTGTCGAAGCGTGAAATGAACAACAGACGTGTCTGCTTGTCATTACCTGGGGACAGAACATGGTTGGCTGAGCGACATAATTATGTCTATCAAGATGGGACTTTTCCACTTGTCTGGCAGAAATTTTGTCTAAGAAGTGAAGTTAATCGGATTGTTCCGCGCTACTTTGAGATGCATCGTTGAAAACTCGTATGTTTATGTATGCTAATAGTTATGCCACATTAACAAGCGGGAAAAAGTCTTTGACAGAAAATCTTCAAATGAGAAGGCGTGCAAGTTTTGAGCAGCCTGTGAGGCGATCAGGCGTTAACATCTTTACAATACTGCCACTAGAGAAAAGCTATTGAAAGAAGCCTTGAAATCAAAGTACACTTCAAGTGAGCACTTTCCGAAATGTTTAAAACAATGTGTGGTGATGAGATAAATCACACCTGCCCAGTTATTCAGATTCTCCTGGGTATGTCTTGCTACTTGCAGGTGAGACAGATAGGTCGAAGATTGATTGAGTGATATAGCTTCGGGTAAACCTGTCCTGTCCAGATGACTCTCCTTCCACATTCTCATAAAGATTCGTTACTGATTGCAAACTGCAGGCCAAAAAAAACAAGATTGGTAGTTAATTGCGAAACCCGTATAACTCAAGGCCATGTAGTTCTCAAAGCTAGTAAGATGGCTGAGTGAAAACGGAGTAGATGAAGCAGAGCATAGGCCCGTGAATATTTGGATAGATTCCTGATGAGACAGCAGAGACCTTGGGAATGAAGCATCTGAATGGATAGAGTGAAAAATCTCAGTGGGTACACTTGAATAGAATTATGGACAGGCAATAAAGAGACTGTCTGAAAAATGACATCTAGGGATGGAAAAAGAGATAAACTACGTCGAGGACATGAGTTCTAGACCTTGTTTAAACAGAAAAACGTTATACTTGGAAAAAGACAAGAGATGGGAAGCACACACGTGAAAATGCAAATATTGCGAAAGTAACGCGACCTCCACCTAAGTGGTTTCTTCATTTTTACTTTTTCTTCAACTTGGTCAGACCGGATTGAAATCGAGGAAGACATTAGTTCTAGCTATTTGGAGTAGCTCAAGGTACATCCGCACGACTGGATTAACGTCCTGAAGAGACTTCCACACAACCGGAGTAGGAATAGAGTGGTTCAGATGGGAACGCCTCAGAGTGATCAGCGTTTAGAGGGAAAGAAATTACGCGAATGAAACAAGGTCATCAGCGGTTTTTAGGATGTTTGTTCTGATAAACTGGGGTAAAAAGAAATAGAGCAAACCTTGATGTAAAACGGCGTTATTGGAAGAGGCGAAAATCACTGTTGTCTCACGTTCATATGCTGGGACCGTGTGAAAAAATAATCAGTTAGCCAATCAAGTGAGGAAGGAGAGCACTCATCAGATGACAGCTTATGTAGTAGGTGAGGGAGGTTGAAAAGAGGTCCATTTATGGAACTGCCGTGTGTAAGATCGAGGCAATGAAGTAAAAACGAAGAATTTGACGTCAGCCGTGCTGAGGTTTGCCTTGTGGAAAAAGTGGAAGGGCGTCGAAGAAGAAAACGGCGAAGGGAAAGGAAACAGAATACCTTCTTTACCATGATACTTAATAAGGTTGGAAAATAAACAGCGGTGCTGGTTGCTTTCCGGTTAGGAATCCAAAGCAGACAATTTCTCAAAGCTAAATTATGGAGAAACTGAAGAACATAAGTGTGAATAACTTCTAGCACTGGCCTACTTAACTCGTCAGTGCATTGCTTGAACAGATAAGGAAGTATGCTATCACGGCCGGAAACAAGTATTTCAAGTAATCTTGAGCTATCGAGTACTTACCGTCACCAGAAAAGAGAACAAGGCCTAGAAGGCTTGAGGGTCCGGTGGAATCACTTTGAAATCATGCTTTTAAGCAATGCGAATCCGGGAAGTGAGCATTTGGACTAGGATTTTATGTGGACAAATTGCTTTAAATCCACACATAGGGTTGCGCAAGAAGACAGACTAACATTCTCCACTCCCCGTAACACCCATGCAGTACATTCTTACTTTCCTCAGTTGAGTCACTGATTCTACTACGAAATAATACTTGTTTCGTTGGAAGCAGCTCTGCGTATTAACCAGGACTTGTGTCGCAACAAAGCAGATTGAACAAACAAATGTCTAATGTGAAGAGTACGGATTCAACTAAAGGTAAAAAGCTCTCAGAAATACAACACCATCTAGAGTGATACGGCAAACAAAACTGTGCGCAGAGGATACGGAAAAATAACAGTTTGGCTTTGAATACATGGTTGGTGGCGGTCAAACAAACGTTTGGCCAAAGATACAAACGTATGAACTACATAGCTACGAAAACAAAGCAAATAGAATATCAGGTCGGATTCTATTCCATCACAGTTATAGACATCAATACAGAAAAGTAGTTTGTGAAGAACATCTGATATCTGTAAGCTGATTGGCTATTTATATGCCATCTGACATGGGGTATGCATTCAACATTTACAAGCTATGCTGCGTCATGCTCTGTATTTACTGCGTACTGTTGGTTCACAACTTGGTACACTTGCTGGTTCTTGGTTCTGTTTGATATTAATCCGTTTGTGCTCTGTGTTGAGTTGTTTGTTTGATCGTAACCTCCCATTTTTAGTTGTTCACTGTGTTAATCTTGGATGTTCCATTTCCACTTTGCGTTTTCCATGAGCAGCACGTTCGCTTACAAAATTCAATATTTCTCATGTGGCATGACATACAATTATGACATACACCAATTTTAGCGACTTTCTAATATTTGCCGGCTACGTATTGTGTTCTCAACATCTTCTTTTGTGTTCCTTCAAACAGAACTACACGTGTATTGGGTTGCACATAAAAAAAATAAAAACTCCTTTCTTTGAACTAAATCGGGCATGGAAATACTACCCCATACACAACACGTCATTGTATCTTTTACGTTGCGAAATATTTTTAACAGAAGTCCACAACAGCCATAATGAATCCACGGAGATTGCTTTGTGCTATCAGACTGACGAAGTCACAGTTACAATTATTTTCGTCTGTATGTTCAACAGAATTGGTTGCAGGAACGTGGGGCTAAAGGGAAACACACACTGAAAAATGACTGCATAATGTGTCTGATGCATAATCACATTTCCAAAGAAGTCAGGCGGAAAACGCTGTGGAAGATTGAGTTTTTATCTGTCGGTTATGCAAAAAGATTTGCTTTGCTGAGTATGCTTCAACTCGACGGTTACGCTACTCCATCACCTAGTTGCTTTAGTCGAGTTTTGCACAGATAAGATAAGAACGTAGGCGGGTATCTGTCCATATTTTGTCAGCTGAACCTAAACCGATTGAGGCGTCTTATTCCATTGTGTCGTTTAGCTGCAACAGTGACTATCAGGCTGATAGTTTCGTAAGGAATGCCAGTAGTCTTATCCACCTAGGTAGAATAGTGGCTGTCAACTCGGAAATAAAGAGATAAGATGCTTTCTTTTGAGTAACTTTGGCTATAAATAAATCCCTGACGTCAAAGAATTACTGACAGAGTACTAGAAGATAAACGGCTATATGGGGACTGAAGAATGTATTCTATAGCCTTCCATTCACTTGTGTTCTCTAAGGTGTCCCATTCCGCTACCGCAGTTCAAGTTCGTCTGAGTAGAGGATGCGAATGTGCCTAAAAAGTTAGTTCTGTGCTTCTGGTGGAAACAAAATCTCCTAATTTCCGCCGTATAAAAAACCCGAAATAATCAAAAGTGAGACATCCCTCGGACACAGAAAGCCTCAGAACCTCTGCAGTTTGTCGGTGGAAAGCATACCCACTTCATTACAGTTCCAACTTTCTGTAACTGGGTGAAAAGAAATAGGTATGTTCAACATGTTTCGCGTCAGATTCAGGCCCAATTTGGTCCAGCCACACTAGAAAGCACAAAAAACACGAATTTCAAACGGAAATCTTCAGTACAGAGGAACAAAAAACGGTCTGACTTGCAGGATTGAAAATCCAAACCTATCGGTGGCAAGCACAGGTATGTGGTTTTGAGCCAATGGCTTTCATTGTTGGTTCGGGAACCGTTTTTGAAAAAAACTAACCGACCGAGAAATACACTCATTTGCAAATCAATTTGGTTTTTAAGAGAGACTCAACTGAATCCCTCGTTTATGATATTCTACAACTGAATGTGCTGCACACAGGCCGCCTCATGATTCAGTTAGGACGATATTCGAGATATCGCATTATATTTTCATAAAGGAAACTACTGACAAGGTTGCCGAAAACTCTTCGACAGCCCACGACCGGTTTCTCCCTTCTCGGGGGTCATCAGGTAGGCGCAGTCCCCGAGTTTCCGTCAACCTTATGATCTACTTGAACCCAAATTGGACTGTTTTCCTTGTGAGTAGTTTTCTTTATGAAAACTCAACTGACCGTTCACTTTTTCAGTGGAAGCTTCATATTTTTCGCATTTCGGCATTTTGGATTACTTCAAGTTGTTGGTCGTTCAGAAAGGGCTCAATTTCGTTGGATCCTAAGATGACAGCACTACCTTGTGTTTAGCTTATGCCATCCAATATTGCTCAGTCTTGCACCTACTGTAATCCTCAATCAGAACGATACCATGTGAACTAAATACATACGTTAATAGGGCGTAATCAGCGCAGCAGTTCGATACGTGTGTTTCCAACCAAAGACCACAAGGTTTCCCTTATTCACTCCGCAATTTTGCCGTAGAGATCATGCATTTTGAGAAAGCAGGTAAAAATATAAATAATAATAAAGTGCAGAAAAGGATTTCTAACATCTTAAACATCAAAATGAGTAAGCAGAAGAACAGCGACCTTGAATGGGACTCTTTAAAAGTCGTGGTTTCGACTCCCGTCCAAGGACTCTTTATTTCCGATTGCATGTTCTCTATGAGATTGAATACTCAGGATAAAAGGAGATTTTTTCAAACAGGCGACAGCTCTGGATGTACTGATTTAAATATCTTCGTTAACCGATCGTGTTGCATTATTTCTATATGTATTCACTAAGTATCACTTTATTCAGAAGCATCTCCGCTCTATAGAATATCCAAGCTGAACGTGGTAAGAAAACTAATTGCTACCTATGTAATGTACTACTCATAAGGTTGCTAAAAATCCATTGACAACACACGACCGCTTTTGCCCTTTTTGGGGCTCATCAAGGAGGCGCAGTCCCCGGGGTTCCGTCAACCTTATGATCTACTTGAATCCAAATTGCACGAAATTAGCGAATACACAACCATTTGCAAACTAATTTGGTTTTTTCGAGAGACTCACCTGGAACCCGGGTGAATCTCTCGTTTGTGATGTTCTCAGACTGTCGACGTATCTTCAGCAACCTTATGAGTAGTACATTACAAGATATACGTGTATCGCGACATCTCGAATATCGTAGCGACTGAAACATGAGGCGGGCTGGTGCAGCACATTCAGTTGTCCGGAAACATCACAAACGAGAGATTCATCTAGGTTCTAGGTGAGTCTCTCAAAAAAACCAAATTATTTTGCAAATGAGTGTGAATTCACTAATTACTACCTAATTTGTGTCCTATTTCCAAAGCGTTTCCGCATATTCTGTCCGTCTGATGACTGTGCAAATAACACAAGGCGAATAACAGGGATACAGACAGAGGTTGGTTGGCAATCCGTACGGGGACACATTAACTGTGGGACGAAAATGTATAATTTTGGTCTTAGTTAGTATTAGATCACCTTACACGACCGCAGGACTGATGTAAGAGAGTAAATTCCGTTTCCAGCTAGGAGATGGTCCCGATTTGTGTCCAACTGAATTACATTTGCATTTCTTTTCCTTTCAGCCATTGGCTTAAATCCCAAACGATTTTTACCATTTCAAACGATGCTTCGTTATTTTCATAAAGGGAACTACTCACAAGGTTGCTGAAAAAAAACTTCGGCAGCCCACGACCGGTTTCTCCCTTCTTGGGGCTCATCAGGTAGGCGCAGTCCCCGAGTTTCCGTCAACATTATGATCTACTTGAACCCAAATTGCACTGTTTTCGAGAAATACACTCATCTGCAAATCAGTTTGATTTTCATGGTGGGCTGTCGAAGAGTTTTCGGCAACCTCGTGAGTAGTTTCCTTTATGAAAATGTGTAATTATCTTTTAACACTCAATTAACTTCATGCAGTTTCTGGAGAGACCTTCTTTGGGGCGAAGATTTCGTCAAACGTCGGCGACGTCGTTGCTAAGATTATGGACAGTTGGCTTGAACTACTACCAGCCCAATGAGAACAGTGGAACTACCAAATGAAACTACTTACAAGGTTGTTAAATTATCCCCACTTGAGTACAAACTTCAACGGTCACATGTAACTCGAGTGACAAAATCTACTTTCATTGGAAATGGTAAAATCAAACACTTGGATGTTTTGAAACGTCGCTAGAATCAGTATTATTTTCAAGTATGAGAGATCACGTCGGCACAGAAAGGCTGCCCCACAAAAAACGTCATTTTGGAAGTAAACTATCAATAGAAGAAAATGAAACTAAAGAAAACCAACCGTACACACTTCTTCAAAATACTATGGGAGAAATTGACTAATTAAATCTAAATTCTCCAACTTGCGGCTGTGGAATTCGTCAACACGTCAGTAATTATTAGGCTGATTATGGGCGTACCTATTTCCCTAGGAAGGTCATGGAGAAATGTGCAGCACAAAAGTACAAAACGAAAATGTATATTTTTGTTCGTGAAGTAACAAAAATAAATTTTTGACTATCAACACAATCACTGAAAGACGAGTGTTTTGCTTACGAAAACTAAAGTAACAAACGCAACTGTGTGACACAGCTGTCGAAAAGTGGTTTATAGGTGGACATGCTTTCTGCCAATTATAGGACCATATATGGTCAAAAAAATGTCAACCATTCAAGAAGGCCCTAATTTGTCTTGGATCATTTCTAAAAATATCTTGGTGCTATTTGTTTTATTTAGGAGGCCACATCTAAATTTCCAGTGTGGCAGACAGAAGGGTGGTGCGTCGGAAAGCCTGTTTGACCATCTTGATGCAGTGAATAGTTCCGATGGGAACGAATTGACTCAAAGCGAAATGGAAACTTTTTTGGAAACCGTATAAGAATTAGTATTCTTGTGTAGAAATCAAATGACTCTCTGTATTAGCATAGATCTGATTATTGTTTGATTGCGAAAAGATTCTGTAAGATCAATGGCCTTGAAACGCTAAATCTGGCTGGAAAGATTCAACTTACTGATTTTGCTGGAACCGTTTCGGCAATATCAGAACTCCATTGCAGCTTCGCCTGGAACTTACTGAGAGCAGTAGCAACAAATCTACTGAGGACTAGGTGATCCATTCCTACAGTTGATTGCTAGGAAGCCACAATGATCAATCCACCACTTTTAGTTTTACTCCACCCAATATTATTGAGTATTGCCCCCATGAACAGGGCTTTCTGTCCCAACGAAGCAGATTTTCTGGCCTGCATGTTACAGTTGTTCTTCAAAAAGTATCTCTGTTTTTCCATTACATGTACAGTACAAGGTATGGTAGTTTGGTTCGATTCGGTTCAACAGCAAAACAATGGCTAGAAGAATGCTGGCTGTTCGGAACAACCAAAACAGTTTAGGCGTCCACCATTTGAGCTCTTGCATAATAAGTCAAAAGTACATCAAATCAAGGTTATTTGAGGGGAGAAAGTAAGGAAACCAGACATGATACTTCATCGTAGTTGTTCAGAATATTCCAACATCTTCCTGAGTAGACTTATCTGTCGTCTTTAGTTCTGTTGCGGGAGTTTGGCACTTCACAGTTTTTTAACGTCCGTAAGTTATAGTTCTCCTGTGATGCAGCCGAGTTCTTTTCTTCTTGTAAACTGTTGATGAAAGCTGACAATACCATAAATGGTCGTAAATTTAACAACTGGTATGTTTAGTACTGTCCAAGAGACCTGCGTCCAAAATAGCTAGATTCTTCATGCGATTGGTCTGCCAAGCCGACTGGCTGTTTATCAGTCGACAGTTGTTCTGTCCGTTAAGCTTGGCAATCGCCAGTGACAACACTGACAATGTCCCCTACTCTGGCGATGAACTGCTTGCAAGCAAACGATTACTTTATCTGCCGCCCGACCAACAGTGAATGAATGAATCTGGGCTGCTGATATTTATAAGTATTAGCAGAAGATCCTTCGATGGTAACAGGCAAGTTTTTGGTCTTGTGCCAGGTTGTACAGGTCAAATGTTTACGGCGCCACCGACACACCCACCGGTATCCCACCAACTTTCTCTGATATGGTCAAATCGGTACGTTCGTCTTCGCTCGGAAAAATGCATGATTTCGAGGTCAGTGATCTAGCTCAGTTGATAAACCGCGTTCTGTGACTCGCAGTCGGCCCACCTCTAACTAATGACACGACCCAGAATTATCATTCGAGTGTGCTTCATCGCTGTTAGATACTGGACAATATCGTTCATTCGGCAGAGACAGGCTGTACTACACCTCTCAGAAAACATATAGTTCGACTCGCAGAGAATTGCATACATTGAATAAACATGTGAATAAATTCAAAAAGGTGAGTGTGATCGAAGATCACAAGCCGAAGGACGAAAACCCATGATTCCTTTTTAAACATGTGTCACCGTTTCCACTTCATAGGTATCCCTATAGGAATGAAATGACGCCCATCTTATACCTCTGTGGACGCCCTTTTGTTTTACCGCGGTAAAATCCGTTTTTTTGGATGCGATCAGCGCACACGATAAGCTAACATGCGACACGTTCCTCAAAAGACAACAGGCTCTGTTCGAAGGACCAAAAGTCATATGAGAAAGCCAGGAGAGGGTCCAGAATGATCACGCTTTTGAAAATGAATATACTATCAACACTATTTTCATCCGTGGGTGCAATGGGCTTCCGAAGATGGAGTCGTTAGATAAAATACGATGTTTGCCGGTAGAGAACCTCCCAACATATTTCCCGTGCTTATATTCTGTTCAAAACCAGAAGCGAACATCATAAACGAGAGATTCAATTGAGTCTCCCGTGAAAACCAAATTGATTTGCACAGAAGCGAACCGTTCATAGATTTAGTTCAGGCAGACAGTTATGAGTGGGATACAACGGACTTTGGTTGCTTGTTTCTTGGGTTTAGAATTCGAGCACAACCCAAACAGAAGGCGTTGGTCCACCTGAACCATGGTGTATGTAAATTATTGTGTTATTTTGTTTGTCCAAGCGAAACTGGTCTTTGTGCTGTTAATCAGATTGCCCAGAATTGTCGACGCACGTGCCAAACCAGGTTTCTTCCTCTCGGTATTCTTGTTCTATATAGCTATGCCGATACGCGTACCCGTCTGTTTTAGTTTTTTATGAGAATTCCACAACTGCAGTCGTCGGGCTGTTTACTGTCAGATTAGAATCCTGCTGTAACAAACGTATTAGATGGATTTTATAACAGCGTGGGCAAGGTCGGTTTTTCGGCACTCTCACTCAAGCACTCCGTTTACAGTAGTCGCCACAGACTTCTAATATTGGTAGCCTGTTAGGTGAATTTTAAACGGAAACTGACGGAACGACACAAGTTTCCCAAGGTTCTGTGGGGTAAGACTGGTTGGATCTGTGCAAGCATTTACCATACTGATAGTTTTTTCTAAAGAACCTTAGCGCAAATCTGAGGTATTTTCTGAAGAGGACACAAAATGTGGGAATGTATCCAAAGGATACACGTCGTCACTAGTTCGATCAATCGTGTTCATTAATTTTACAGAGGGTTTCATGCAAAAATCAGCAGAATCCAGGAACTGAAATAAATTCTGAGAACTACATAATGCGCTTAAAGTTCTAGCACAGACAAGAATCACACCTCACAAGCCCTATGTCCGACAGACAGGATCAGATTTGAAACAAACTGGCTAGAAGGGGGGTCTGTTCAATGTCCGTTACATAAGAGAGTGTCTTATGAGGAATCGAAGTGATCCTGAGAACGCCCAGCCTCGCAATTCGGTTGATAGACTTAGAAAAGCAGACAGAAACGACCGGCATTCTGTGGACTTCAACATAGTAATCAATGGCACGCAGAGCTGAAATGAAGGCAAGGTTGCATTCATCAACACCGTTTTCTCTTTTCACATACTCCGCGCCAATCCGACGCCATTCCAATAGGTGTAATCGTTACTCAGTGCTTTCAAGCAGCGATCAAGTCACGATTGATAAGCCACGTCAGACTGCACGTTAACAACGCGATGGTCAGCCCAACGGTCATCCGATCGTGGGCTAATTCATAAAATTGATGTCCCATTTGTAGCATAAAAAAGCGAACAAACTCGACCATCACCACGATAAGAAAAATGGTTCCCCTGACTCACTGCTCCGTGACGATGAACTTTCCAGTTAGGGAAAGGTGTTGCAATATGCGAATAA